TGCCTCATAAGAATGCATAGCTTTAGAGACTCGTTACCTTGAATACGTCTGGAAGAATGATAGCCTGCTCCGATGATGTCCGTCAAATTATGGACAGAAGCTTAGCATGTTTTCAGAGGAATTGAAGGAGATTGCTTCAGAAACAGTGTAAGCAAGAATTCTAAAGTAGGGCAGTATAGACTATCCAATCTATTAACCACACATTTTTCCTCGAAATGGGAATGGGCTCAATGAGTATGCATCAAAAGTTTCCTTGAAGCCCAACTTTTCTTCGCATACATTTGGAGGCAGATAAATTAAATTGATGTCTCACTTTTTTTTTCTTCAAGAGTGCCTAACCTTATTAGTGCGGCCATAGCTAGATTCGCTTTTGCTATGACTGCATCACGGCGATATAAGAAGACATGCACCAATGTGTGTGGGCATGGTTGCTTGCCAGAAATTAGCGAAGCCCATAGCATCAAGAATAAAGCTCTACTGGAACGTCATAGATGGAGTATCCCGCCAGCATTTCCCTTGCCATTCACAGAAAAGTTTGAAGAAGCAAATGGTCGAGAAGGGAGATGAAGTGGCTGGCCGTGAGCCAAGAGAATTTAATAAACGTGAATAAATTAAATTGACAACAAAGCCTACATCACCAAATTCAAGCTAAAATTTGATTGTAACGATGATATTTTACTCTGATGATGTTCGTCATATGACGGATGAAAGCTTGGAATCTTTTCACCGGAGACGAAGGATATTAACTCGGGAGCAACGTCAACATGAATGTTAAAGTAAAGCCAATTGACAGCTGGTCAAGCGGAATCCGCCGTCGTCTTCTGGTGGAATCGACCTTCGAATCTCTTCACCAAACACTTTCACTCGAAATGGAAGTAAGCCCAACAATTATGAAACAAGAGATTCCTCGAAACCCAACTTTTCTTCGTAAAGTTTGGATTGCAGTCTAAATATAAGAAGAAGGTTGGAGTTTGAAGAACCCCATAATACTTTAATGGGCCTCGACTTTTATATCAAAGGAGAATTAGGCGTTAAGGGATTTTCATCAATTTGACTTATAGGAAACCGGGGGAGAGTGTCAAGCGGTTCTATGTTCTGCGATCTCGAAAAATCCGTGCTGGGCTTTTGTTTGTTCCGCAGTGACAGGCATCGTCACAGCCAGAAGCCATGATTTATGATAAAATCGTCAATGCACCAGACCAATAAAGTTGGCTGGCTTCAATCATACCCACTTTTATACAAGCTACCCATTTTGATTTAAGGTATAGGCATATTTCTATGAGGATGACTTCTGACTCTGATGATGTTTGTTACAGTTGAACAAACATTAGCCTAGCGCGGATGGATCGTGTTCAAAATACGGTACACCAAGAACTGCTTTTCACAAATGCAAGGTCGAAATTCTACAGCAGTCACGAAATCACGAATCCTTTCCAACCAGATTTTCCTGCGAAATGCAAAGTCGAGCAACAATAGAGCCCAACTGTTGGCTATATTCTTTTAAAGAATGTAGCTCAAATGAGGCTGAGTTTCGGTAAATATTTTGATAGCTGAATCATGAGCTAACTTTCATTTCGCGTTGAGTATGAAATAAAGATGAGCATCTGTCGATCTCGCCAAATGGCGAGAGTGGATTATCCTCTGACTTTTACGGTTTGGCCATGCTGGAACGTTAGTGCCACCCAGGCTAGCGACAAGTCTACAAACGAGCCCAATTTCAACTTATTCACATTTAACTTATTTTGATTTGTCCATTGTCTTACCTGCGTGCTGATATATTCAATAAGATAAATTGGTTTCTATGTGATTATATGCCTATTAACGAGTGCGTATGCGTATGACTGCCACAATAGTTGACCGAGATATGGCATCCATTATGGACAGTCGAAAAGTTTGTACAATCTCCTGCTCAGGAAAATGGGTAATCGTGATTGAGCAATAAGCGAGCTCCTCCCAGTCAGGTGGATGGGCGATATGTGCAAGCCGGCTTTACAAGCCTACACAGCCGGGTAGCTTATTTGCGAAAGAATGTCGGAAGCGAAGTGAGTCTAGACAATAATTGAGAATGGATCAACCGTTTCTCCTTCCCAAGTCTATCATCCAAACACAAGTTATTCTGACCCAACTTCCTGTGATTGTTTGGGAGTTATTAGAAAAATAAGAGTGGCATGAAGGGTGCATTAATATTAGTAAGTTAATGTGCTTAAGAATTTATGAAAGTTGCGTCTTGAAATAAATGAAGAAAATCAGGGTTTCTAAGAATTCCTTAGTCATATATTGCGACATGATTTTCCGTTTCGAAGGAAAAGTTGATTGAAAGGAATTCGTAAAATGGTCTCACCGGAAACAGAAAAATGATAGCCTCGGAGTGAAGACTGTTGAATTGTGAGAAGAAGTCCTTGTCTCACCGTCTTGCAACCCAGATGAATCTGTGTTAAGCTTTACTTTGTACCGTCATGACAAGGATATTTTTTGCCTATTTCACAAAGTATGCAATCCTGTTCTGATGATGTATCAGGCCAAGAACTTCTTCACACAACACAACAGTTCTCGCTCCGCGTCAATCATCCTTTGGTTTCAGGTGAAATCATTTCACGTATCCCTTCTGACCAACTTTTCATTCGAAATGCAAATTCATGTCACAAAGTTGCCTCTTCCCAACTTCTCGCACAATCGATGAGCTCCTCTTGGCGAATATGATGAACAAAGCCGGCGCTCAAATAGTCATAAACACAATCTAAATTTGTTCCCTCGTTAGAGACACCATACCAGAAACTGTGCGTTCATATAATTGTCTTTATGTTGGAAACTTTTGTCCCCCAATAAGCATACATCAAGAGGAAAATACACCCGAAAGCGCCTCTGGAAAGGAGAAAATTAGCTAGTATTGCCTGGATCTCATCATTTCGTAGTCAGGGGTAGATAAGAGCGGCATGTTGTATAAAAGCTCAAAGTACCCCTTTGAGAATAAGGGATGAAGGTAGGAGTAAAAAATTATTACTTGTGCTTGATTGGTGGACTTGAGGAGGGAAAAGGGATTGTGGCTTAGTCCTCTTTTAATCATGATGCCAACATAAAAAATAAGTAGGTTTGCGCATGAAGTTAACAAACTCTGCTGGCAGGATATATCCCCCTCTTTGCGGTCTAATCAAGCTAGCGAAGCCTCCTTTTAGCCTCAAGCTCTTCCGGTTCTTCTTCAGATCTTCACTCAAGCCTAGTCCCTTCCAGCCCTTCCTCCTTTTTCGGGCTGCTTTCATACCGCGCCTTTAATCAGACCTCAACACAATTCCATTACGCTTTTCTTGGGCCTCTTATGTCCCAAAGCACCTTGATTGTCCAATCCTCTGAATCCGTACTCTCCTATCCATTTCAGCTCTTCCAAGCTGCGTCGGGCATCGTCGTCGTTGTCGCTTGGCTCTTTTCTTCTTACCCATCTCCCATCCAAGTAATATCACTTTTGTGCCGCTTTGCCTCGGCTACCTCTTGGCCATGGCAGCAAACTTTATTGGCCGTATTGAAGAAAAATACTTGGCGCCACATCTACCTCTTCTGAATAAGACAATTTCCCTCATCTGCAAGCATGGAAGGTAGGAACAATGTGACCAACCCAATAATAGGATGCCTGATTAAGATAGCAGGATTCGGTTAAAAGTTACATTCTTCATTGTCAGTGAATTTCGAGACTATCGGTAAACCTTGACTATGAGTGCCGATCGGGTCATACATGCTAGAGAAAGGGATAAGATATCTTCAAGTTGGCAATTCGCTGAGATCGAATTAAAGCCAGACATCCGGTTCGATATTTCGTATTTATACTCTTTGTTTCCATTATGCCTTCGCTTTCATCATACATTTTTTTATTTTGTCGGTTTAAAAACGAAGGTAGTTAAATTATAATTCACCACCTAAGATTACGCCAAAAAGTAGTCTCGCGATGTATTCATGTTTTTTTTCTAGGTAGGCTTACGAGACTACCAGTAGATCATACACATGAGATGTATTGGCCGTTTCGTTAAGACAGTTGAATGAGACTTAGGCGAGGTCGAAACTAAAGTCCATAATTAATGAGAATAAACTTTAGGAAAATAATGCTATGCGAAATTCAACTAAAACACAGGGTCTACTCATTTAATTATAGGAAAATTCAACTATTAGTCATGTGTCACCTTAAACGAAATAGGGTGAACTCATCTCAATTATCCTATCTACTGGTTATCTCGAAAGCCTACTTATAAACTAAAAATAAGTATTGTTAAGGGGAACTTCA